GACTGGCACGACATCCTCCTGATCCACCTGAACCAGCGCTGCAGCCACCTGAAGAGTGTCAGGCTGTGCGCCAGCCTGCTCGTACAGAGCCTCTACCCAAGTGACCAGTGCTTCAGCCCTGGTGAGGGGTGTGCCCCACGTACTGTGCTCAGCCTGCTCCAACTCACTGCCCCAGGGTCTCAGCCCTGGAGGGTCCCAGCCCTGGCACTCAACAGTAATGCCCATGCTGTGCCATCTTTGAGCCCCCAGCTCCTGAGGTGCCCATGGTGGGTGGTGGTGTCTGGGTCGGTGTCTCGGCAATAATCTGGCTCCTGGTGTTGTGTCTGAGTTGGGAGAGGGGGCTGGACGGCGTCACTGAACCGAAACGGCCGCTCTTCGCAGTTGTCACCGTCACTGAGGCCCAGCGTGCAAAGCTGCCCGTCACCCCCATGCCACGGGAAATGGCGTTCCCAGTGCCAAAAGGGGAGAGCTGGCATGACCACTACGCCCACGTCCGGTGTGTCGTTCTGCTCTCCTGGCGGCCGGGTGGGGGCGAGCAGGGCACCGCAGATGCTGACTCTTCGTCTGCTCCTGCCGAGGTTTCCAAGCCACAGCTCAGAAGCACCTCTGCAGCCCGTTCGGAGGAGCGATTCCCCTGCGGAGGCAGGTGGGCCTGAGGGGTCCGTGGACGCCCAGGCCCAGGTCTGCGGAATGTGCAGAGTTCAGTGGGAGGGGGGCCTGGCGGTGTGATGCCTGCAGGGTGCCGGGGCCGCACGGGAGGGAGGGTGTGTGTAGGGCCTCAGGGAGGCCGTACTGGACTTGAGTGAGTGTGGGCTGCAGCTTCTGTCCTGCAGCACGGCAAGCCAGGGGCCACTGCTCCCCTTGCCCTGTGCCCAGGCCTCTGCCCCCTACTCAGCAGACTCAGCAAGCCTGCCCAGGACAGCGTGGTCCCTGTGGCCCAGGCACCTGCCCCCCTGCAGTGAGTGCTCCTGTGCCCTTGGGGACGGGCTGGGGGACGACAGCCCCGGTGCTGACAGGCTCTTGTCCCCTGGAGTCCCGCCAGGCCCACTCGGTGCCCAGGCCCCTTCCGGAGGTCAGCTTGTCCAGTGAGCACTCAGAGGCCTTCCATGCAAGCAGCCCTGGAGGCTGCAGCCAAGAGCCGTCGGCCTGGGCTGGGGTCACTGAGGAGTGTGCGGCTGGCAGCAGTGTTACCATGTCCACCCAGAAGAGGCCTGCGGCCCTGGAGGACACGGCGCCCCGCATGGTGAGAGGCCGTCCAAGGAAGGTGAGGGCGGGCTGTGCCTCGAGCCGGGCGGGGCCTCGAGGTGTGGGTAGGGGGCAGCTGGGTCTGTGCTGCCGTGAGCCCTTCGCGGCCTCTCGTCCCGTCTCCAGGTGAAAGGCGGAGTGGGCAGGAGGTGGCTTTGGGTGAGGATCCCATGTGACAGTGAGGAGTGACTGGTGCTCTGACGCCAACCCCAGGGGTCTTAGGGGACCTCAGGCAAGAGCAGCACCGGGCTCCCTCGGGGCTCCGGCCTCCTGCACAGAGCGACCAGTAGAAGCCACCGAGGATCGAGGGTCGTACAGCTCTCGGGAGGCAGGAGCCAGGATGGGGGCTTCACCTCCTGGGGTGTCACTGTGAGTCCGTCTGTTTCAGAGCTTCCTCCCGGATCCCATCCTGAGGCTTAAGCGGGTCATCGGCTTCGGGGGCCACAGCACCAAACCGGTGAGGAGGCCCGTGCTCTCGGAGGGTGGGGCCCGTACAGGTGACACAGGGAGGGTGTGCCCCACTGGGACGAGAGACCCTCTGCCCACGAGCCCACCATGGGCCCCCACCCAGGCCCTGTGGACCAGTGACGGGGCCGCTGTCATGTACCCCTGCCACACCGTCATTGTCATCATGCGCCTGGACACCTGGGAGCAGCGCCTCTTCCTCGGCCACACCGACAAGGTGGGCGCCACGTGACCCTGGGGTGACTTGCCTGCACCCCTGCAGGCCGCCACCCTCCCTCCCCCTGTTGCCCCCCAGGTCTCTGCCCTGGCACTGGATGGGAGTGGTTCCCTGCTGGCCTCGGCCCAGGCGCAGCCCCCCAGCATGCTGCGCCTCTGGGACTTCCAGACGGGCAGGTGCCTGTCACTGCTCCGGAGCCCGGTCCACATGCTCTGCGCCCTCAGGTGGGTGTGGGGCCTCTGAGGGGCAGGGGTGCCCCAGCAGTGCTGACCACCTCCTCTCCACCCACAGCTTCTCTAGCAGCAGGGCCCTGCTTTGTGGAGTTGGCAGAGACCACCACGGGAGGACGGTACATGCCGGGCAGGGGATCCACCCAGGGTGCACTTACGAAGCGGGGCTCCCCGGCTCTGCTGGGCACCCCTGCCCCACACATGCCCTCATGGTGTCAGCATTCAGATGACTTTCTGGGTGCCTGTTCTGCAGTCGTAGATGGCGTGTGTCAGGGCTAGAAGGTGGCAGCTGGTGGGCAGGTGTTCCCCTGTGGGGCTCCGCCTCCTGTAGTCCCTGTGGACATGCCCACTGTGAATGTCTGCAGCTGCCCTGGGTGGCCCCTGTGGGTTCCTTGGGGCTGGGGTCTGCTCCCCACCCACAGCTAAGCACTCAGCTGGCCTGGTGGAGGCCAGGCAGGGGGTGGGCCGTGGGAGCTCAGTGTGGGCTTTTGCAGGTGGTGGTGGCCTGGGGCACAGACCGGGTGGGGCAAGGTGGTGAGGTGCTTGTTCTGGCAAAGGCACACACTGACACTGATGTCCAGGCATTCGAGGTTGCCTTTTTTGATGAAACCAGGTGAGTGGGCTGCTTGCCTGGCCACTGGCACTGTAGGGGTGGGGCTGAGCCTGTCTCTCCTCCCTGGTGCAGGGACCATCCACAGCATCGGCTCTCCCTGTGGGCATCGGGCAGCACTCATTCACCCTGTTACAGGATGGCATCGTGTGGGCGGGGCAGTGTGCGGCTGTGGCGGCTACGCAGTCAGGCACTACGTTCCTGCCCCGTGGACCTGGGGGAGTACCAGGCGCTGGAGTTCACCGACCTAGCCTTCAGGCAGGCCCAGGACAGCAGTACGCTGTGAGCCCTGCCCTCCCTCCCCTAATGGGCAGCTTGGGCCCCCCTTGGGCTCCTTGGGCCTCACCTGCCTGCCTCCATAACCTGCCACCTCCCTGGCAGCTATGTGTGTGGCAGCAGCGGCCACATCGTGGAGATAGACCCCCCAGCGCATGGCCGTGTGGCATGCTCGCCGCCTTCTGCCCGTGCAGACCCCCAGCAGGCCCCTCCCACAGAAGCAGACCTTCAGCTCAGGTAGGTGGGCCCCTGGCTGGGTGGGGAGCCGCCTGGCGCTCTAGACTGCTGCTGCCTGTCTGCAGGCACTGGCATCGCCATCAGCAGCATCAGCGTCTCCTAGGCCATGTGTGCCGTGGGCTCTGAGGACGGCTACCTGCACCTCTGGCCCTTGGACTTCTCTTCTGTGCTCCTGGAAGCAGGTGAGGCTGACACCTGAGTCGCCACTGGACGGCTCCAAGGAGCTGTGCCTTGAGCCTGGGGGTCCACTCTGCTGGGTGGTCATGGGGGAGCCACCTGTCCTGGCCCAGGGAGACGTAGCTCCAGGCAGCAAGGGATGGGTTTTTGTGTGTTGTGGGGGGCAGGCGGGCCAGGCAGTCACCTGCCCACCCTGCCCACAGAGCACGAGGGCCCCATCAGCTCGGTCCACATCAGCCCAGATGGTTCGTGTGTGCTGTCCACCACCTGCTCGGGCCAGCTGGGCTGCCTGGATGTCCCCTCCCGGGAGTACAGTGTGCTGGCACGCTCCCACACCGCCCCAGTGCTGGCCCTCGCCACTGAGCACAGTCGAGGGCAGCTGGCCACTGTGTCCCAGGACCACACCGTTCGCATCTGGGACCTGGAGACCCTGCAGCAGGTGGGGTGCAGCCAGAGGGGAGCTGGCTAGGAGGGAGGGACTGGAAATCACAGGAGACACACAGGCCCAGCAGTGGGAGGGCAGGGGCAGGGTTCAGGCCACCGGGAGAGAGACTGGCTGTCAGGCCATCATGGCCAGCTGGTAGCCACCACCTGTCCGCCCTTGTGTGACCCCCCCTCCAGCTGTATGACTTCACGTCACCCGAGGAAGCCCCGTGCACCGTTGCCTTCCACCCCACGCAGCCAACCTTGTTCTGTGGCTTCCACAGTGGGGCTGTCCGTTCTTTCAGCCTGGAGGCCACTGAGGTCCTGGTGTAGCACAGGTGGGCGCTCAGCCGGCCTCAGCCCTGTAGATGCTGAGGTGGCGTGTGGGACCCCCCCAGGGCATGTGGGTGTCTGGGAAGGGCAGGGGAAGCATGTCCGCCGGAAGCTCCTGTCTCTGGGATCTCGGCAGGCCTGGCTGCTGGAGGTCTGGGATGGAGCAGCTCGGGACCAAGGAGTGGGCATCTCCTTGTGGTGCAGGTGTCACCGAGGAGCCATCACCGGCCTGGCTGCCAGCCCCGACGGCAACCTCCTGTTCAGCTCCTGCTCTTGGGGTGCCCTGGTCCAGTACCACTGTGCTGTCATCCGCTGCCACGTCCTACATGTGGCAGGTCAGGCTCCAAGCGTGGCACCCCGGCCTCCTGACATATCCTGTCAGGCCCTGCGGGCCCTCAGCAGTACGCCGCTTCTGTAGCCTCACTGTGGACCCCCAGGGAAAGTGTGGCTTTAGGACTTCATGCCCCGGAACTGGTCAGTAAGGGTCTGTGCCTGGCCTGCCTTGGTAGGAGGTAAACAGCCCGAGTACCAGGCCAGCAGGTAAGGGTGCCCACCGGGGTCAGTTCTTCCTGTGGCCACTGTACCAGTGCCCACTGGTGTTGGCACCACTCCCCACGAGCTGTTGCTGTGGGACCTGCCTGGCTCTGGGGCAGGCTATGCCCTCCAGGTGCCACCTTTCCACCTAGCTGACCACCTGCCTCTTTTTTGCTGGTAGCTGGTGTTTGTGCCAGGATGCCCACCTGAGCCCCAACACCCTCGCGCTCAGTGGGGATAGCCGCTAGCTGGCATTCGTGGGTCCCTCCAAGCACATGGTGATAGTCATGGATGCAATCTCTTTGGAGAAGGTATAAGCCTACCAGGACATCCTGTGTGTCCAGTATGGACGGGGCTGACAGATTCCTGGGTACGCCCAACTTTGCTGCATGGCTCCCCTGGGCCCCACCAAGGTCATGAGGGTGGCAGAGGCTGTCCTTGCCCCAGCATGGAGCGCAAAGGTGAGGGCAGGTGGGAGGCCACACTCAGTCCAGAGAGAACCTCGCCATGCTGCCTGCACTTGGGCACAGAGAGCACGCGAGCCATTTGCTGACTGGGCAGGGACAGATGCCAGGTGGGTGCCCAAGTCTGCCACCTGCTCGGCCCTGGCCTGGGGGTGTGGCTCTGCCTGGAGGCTGTGGCTAGTGGCTACACACTGCTGTTCCCCAGCTGCTGCAGGTTGACGTCAGTGCCCTGGACCTGGCCTGCAGACACCAGGATTCTGCTGTGGCTGTGTGCTTTGGCCCCGCACCTCCTGACCATCTGCTGGTATCTACGGCGTCCAATACAATCGTCGTGCTGGACACCGTGTCAGGCCGTGTGGTCCAGAAGGTGAGCCCAGGGCTGCAGCCAGCCACTTGGCCTCCCCCTCCTTCCTGACTTCACCTTGGCTCCCACATTGCCTCATGTTGTGAACACCCTGGGCCACCTGCTGCTCCAAGAAGTGGCATTTTCAGGAAGGGAGGCATTTCCTATCCAGTGTGCTGTGTGCTCCAGTCCCACCACAAGGAGGCTTTCCCACAGCTGCCTGGCGCCTCTTCTGGGGCCTGCTCCTCCTTGGCTGTCAGTGGGGATGCCCGCCTCCTGCTGACGGCCGCCTGCCAGGCGATCAAGGTGTGGGACTACTCGATGCAGGCCGGCCCTGCCTGCCAGGTGTGTGCCATGGGTGGGTGGGCAGGAGAGAGGACAGCGCCCCCAGGCTGCCCTGTTTCCGCGGGTCTGACACCACAGAGGGGTCTGGGGCCTCCCGGCCAGACCTGTGTGCTGGGTGATGGCAGTGCCTCTGCCTCGGGGGTCTCTGTACGTGGCGCCTGCTGCCCCCAGGTGTACATTGGCCACTCAGAGCCTGTGCAGGCTCTGGCCTCCACCCCCAACCAGCAGCAGCTCCTCAGTGCGGGCGATGCCGTCTTCTTCTGGGACATCCTGGCCCCCCTGAGAGGTCGCCCCCAGAAAGGCAAGTGACTGCCCCAGGCTTGCATCTGCCGGGCTTCTCACTGCCCCCTCCCCACCTGACACCCTCTCTCGTTCCCTCTGCAGTGCCCGTGTCTCGCCCAGGGTCCTCCCTACCTTTGAGGCAGGTGAGTGGTCCCACCACGCTGGCAGGCTCTGTGCTGAGATCTCTGCAGCCACTGTGGGCAGCACAGGCCAGTTCCTTTCCTGGGGTTCCCAGCACAGAGCTGGGCGCAGTGGGCTGGACACACCTCCCCCAACTCACTCAGCCCTCCTGATGCCCTGAACGCAGCTGGGCTCCTTCTGTCCTCAGTCTGGGGTGCAAGACAGCTGGAGGACGCAGCTTCGGGGGCCGGTGGGCTCCCTCGGCAGCAGGTGCCCATGCCCTCCCCGGCATCCCCACCTCAGCCGGGCATCTGCGATCGACCACCCGAGGGTGGTGACAGTGAGGGCAGGGCCCGGGGGCTGGCAGGGAATGCTGCTTCAGGCCTGTGGGGCGGGCCGTGGGGGGCAGAGGCTCTGCGCCCCCCTCCCCACGGCCCCCCTTCCCCAGGCACTTTCTCTGTGTCAGATGAAGAAGTGCTCTCTGAGCGGAGTCACAGCCCTGAGGGGCCCCATCAGGCCTCAGGCCCACCCGCGCTGGGGGAGGAGGCCTGCCCAGCCGGAGACGAGGCCCGGAGGAGGACTGCCTGTCTCAGCGGCTGGCTCAGTAAGCAGGGGAGGCAGGGACACCTATGACCGCTGCAGGGCCCAGGCAGGGCCCGCAGATGGGCTGGGTTTTGGCCCATGCGGGGAGGCACAGTCACTTGCAGAGCGAGGGGAGAGCTGAGGTCCCCGCCGGGCTGAGCAGAGGCTGCCCACCCACGCTTTTCAACCCCTGGTATCTGACCTGGTCGGCCCCTTCTCTCGTCCAGCCAGGCTGGGTGGCCAAGCGCAGGAGGGTACACTGAGCAGGATACTGGCAGTTTGACATCTGGCTGCCTCTACTGCGCCCCAGCCAGGTGCTCGGAGCAGGAGATCCCGGGCAGGGCCTGCCACCCGCCAAGACTCCTACCAGCACTTTGTGGCTCCCTGCAAGGCCTCCCCAAGGGCCAAGGTTGGAGGGACTGCGCCTTCATAGCCCGGGGGCACCTGGAGTGCTCTTTGTTCCCAATGAATATGGTCCCTGCAGCCCCTCTGGGGCTGCCTGTCTGCTCGGTGTGCGCACTCCCGCTGTCCTGCGGACACCCAGAGGGGACCCCGGTGGTGTCCTGCTGAGCAGCCCCTCTCCACCCACTGCCTCCCCCTGCCATGTCCTGACCCAGCCCAGAGGCCCCTCCCTGGGAGCCCGGTCTTGCTGCCCCTCCTGGCCTGCTTCCCCCCTATGCAGGTGTAGGGGTGCACCCCTGCACTGTCTTTGTGCGGACCTCCTGTGGCCGTGTGGCAGCCCTGGCTGGTGGGCAGAGCCTGTGATGGTGGGTGGGCCAGGCACTCTGCCTGCTCACCGGCCTCTGGGTTCTCTTCCTCACAGAGCATCTCCCCAGCTCCTGGTGGCGGATGGCTGCACCTGAAGGCTGTTGTGGGCTACAGTGGGAATGGGAGGGCCAACGTGGTCTGGGGTCCAGACACAGGTAGGGGCCACAGCTCACCCTGGTGTCTGACTCAGAAACTGCAGGGTGGGGCGGGCTTTGTGCCTCCCGGTCAGGCCCCATGGGGTGCAGATGACCACTGTTGGCACAGGTGGTTTGGGCTTGGGTGGGAGGCAGCCATGGGTAGAGGGGTGGTGGTCCCGGTGACACCTGCGGTGCACAGCCCATGCTCAGCGGGCCTCTGAGCAGATTTCGGGGAGGGCTCAGCATGAGCTGCCTACCTGGTGAACACTCCCAGGGCTGCAGCTGACCTGGGGCATCCTCCCCACCTCAGGCTTCTTCGCCTACATGTGCGGCTGCCTGGTGGTGGTGGAGGACCTGCACTCTGGCGCCCAGCGGCACTGGCCTGACCACCCTAAGGCGATCTCCACATTAGCCCTCAGCCACGATGCCCAGGTGCCCACCTGTATGCCTGCCTCCTCGAGGACCAGGGCTGCCCTTGCCTCCAGAGCAGTGTGGGGGCACCATGGGAGTCAGGAGGGGCCAGCGGGCCACAGCCACCCTGCCCACTGCCTGCCCTCTCGCCCCCCAGATCCTGGCCTCTGCCTTGGGCTGCAGCGGTTCCACCCCCCGGGGCCAGATCCGCATCTGGGACGTGCCCTGGGGCTCCAGCCGGCAGCTCGCCTCCCACCATGACGCTGCCATGCAGGCCCTGGCTTTCTCGCCGGATGACGGGCTACTGGTTGCACTGGGTTGGCTGGGGATGTGGGCAGAGGGTGATGGCTGACGCTGCCTACCTGGGGCCCCTGGGAGCTGACATGGCTGCCGTGGGTCCGCCCCAGGGGACTATCTTGACTGCACTCTGGCCCTGTGGAGCATGGCTACCTATGAGCTCCTGTCTTTCACCCGCCTCCTTGAGCCGGTGCATGGCATGGCCTTCAACCCCTGGGATGCCGGGGAGCTCGCCTGCGTGGGCCCGGGTGCCGTCACCCTGTGGCTTGTGCAGCAGCATGGGGCCGACATCAGCCTCCAGGTGCCCGGTTCAGAGGTGTGGTGGTCCTTTGGGGGAAGAGTTCCAGCTGCGCCCCAGGGTGTTGCTGACCCGTGGCACTCTGGTGTCACTCCAGGTGCATCGAGACCCCATTCCTGAGGAGGTGGCGGCAGGCACGCTGACCTCTGTCTGCTATGGGACCGTGCCCTTGCTCTACGGTGGCTCCAACACTGGCCAGGTCTGCGTCTGGGACATGCAGGCCCACCGCTGCTTCCTGGCCTGGGAGGCGGATGATGGTGAGATCGGTGGGTGCCCTGTGGCCCCCTCCAGGTCTGGCCTGGCCTCTCCATTGGAGCCCGCATCCTGGGTACTGAGACCATGTGTCACAGTGTGGGCACCTGGGCAGCAGCCCTGCCATCCCTGTCCCCGAGGCGTGCTGCTGTGCTCAGGTGCCCGGCTGGTCAGCAGCAATAACACTAGGCGGCTACGCCTGTGGGCGGTGGGAGCCGTGCCGGAGCTGAGGTGCAGGGGCTCTGGGGCCAGGTGAGCTGCTGTGTCTGCGCCCTGTGGGGACACCCTGGGCAGGTGCCCTGGGCTCTCACACTGCCTCCCTTCCCACCCACTGCTCCCAGGTTCGGCTCAGTGTTGAGGGAGCTCGAGCTGACCCTGGACGGGGCCATTGTGAGCGTGGTCTTCCATGACAGCATGGACATGGGTGTGGTGGGCACCACGGCAGGCACACTCTGGTTCATCAGCTGGGCCGAGGGCAGCAGCACGCACCTCATCAGTGGCCACAGGAGCAAGGTGAGGCCACTGGGCTGCTGGCTCCATCAGAGATGTCCAGGGGGCCTCCAGCCAGGACAGAGGCCGGGCAGTGAGTCCACACGCAGTTCCCTGTGCCCCTGCCCTCCCCCGGGTCAGTCTGTGCCCAGCCCGGCTCAGCTGTCCAATGGCCTCCACACAGTGTGCAGTTCCCCAGGAGAGCACACAGGCACCTAGAGCTGCATGCTCGCCTCTTTTGACACAGATCCACCTGTGTCCACTCACGGCAGCCCCGGCGGCCCCACGACCTTCTCTGCCCATCATCTTTTGGTGGTCTGACCCTGCTCTTTGGGGGAGAGACGAGCCCTGGGGACACCCAGGGCAGTGCCAGGGCTGGAGTTCCCTTCCGGCTCTTTCAGAGCTGGTGGGTGGAGGCGGGGGTCTAGCTCCCAGGTCACAGCTTCTCCGAGCGTTCAGGGTCCTGTCTTTGGCCAGTGTAAGCTTCTTTAAGTAGGCTCCTGAGTCCTTGGTTTTTTCTTAAATCTATATGTATTTGTTCAGGGGTCACAGTAAAGAGTGTGAACTTGAGGGGGTGGAGACAGTGCGCCTTCTGTGCTCTCTGGGGAGCAGCGTCATGTCCTGATCTACGTTCCGTGCGCTCTGCTCCTTTAAAGTCAGCATCTTTCAGTTACTTGCAGAGCTGCATAGCCGCCAGCACAGTTTTGGAGCGTTCTCACCATCCCGAAAGGACACCCCACACCCGCCACGTACTCTGCTTCCGGCCCACCAGTGCCCAGACCAGCACGGCCGTGCATCTGCCCATTCTGGACATTCCTTTCTGTGTGGTTTGCTCCCCAAGCATGACGTTTTCAAGGTTCACTCATTTTGGCTGCTGAATACTTTGCATGGTCCAGATGGAACATGTGTTTATTCACACCCCAGGGCGTGAGCGCTGGGGCACCGAGTCTGGCCTGTGCGCTGGTCACCGGCCCCTCTCACAGGCACCACGAGGTGTTCCAGGCCCTCCCTCTGCAGCTCTTTGCAGGCCTGGACTTGGCTGTGTCCTCCCAGAACCCGAGGCCCATCGCATCTCAGCCAAGCAGAACTAAACTATTATTTTCAAGAAGTACATCATGAGTTCATACTTACGCTTGAAATCCAGCTCAGGACTGGGCGCTTTCACGGCACCTCCTTGGTGTACAGCATCTGCATGTCTTTTTTCCTGCACCAGAATCCTGATTTCTTAGTGGTGGTCACCCACCTCTTTCTCCTCAACACGACCATCTCAGGAAGCACCTCCACCACCAGGGCTGAGGCCCTGGGAGCAGGCTCCAGCCCTCTGGGGACATATCGTCGGGTCCCTGTGGTTAGGTTCTGTGGTGCCCGGCGGGTGGGTGGTCAGGTTTGGCTGACTGGGGGGGCCTTGCCACGATACAGAGGCCCCCAGGTCTAGTGTGGGGACAGCCAGGAGAGGGTCTTGATGGTCTCTTCACACCACGTGGAGGTGACTGGGGTGGGCTTGGGGGGACAGGCACCCGTGTTGGGACAGTCTGGCCCACTGTGGCCCCCCACCCAAGGGCCATGTGGCCTCAGACCAGGCTGGCTGGCTCCCTGCAGGTGAATGAGGTGGTTTTCAGCCCCAGTGAGTCCCACTGTGCCACATGCTGTGATGACGGGAGCATGAGGGTGTGGTCCTTGACCAGCATGGAGTTGGTGATCCAGTTGCAGGTGCTGAACCAGGTACTGTGGGGCTCCAGGGTCTGGGGACTCGTGCCAAGGAAGGCCGACCGCCCACCTTTGGCCCCACCGGCCCCTGAGCCCTCCCTCTGGCCTTGTTGGTGTCTGTTTGCAGCCTTGGGGCTGGGACCCCGTCCTACCCACAGGGAAGCTGATGGTTCCCCGTTGTGGCCCCCCAGAGCTGCTTCTGCCTAGCCTGGAGCCCCCCGTCCTGTGGGCGTCCCGAGCAGCAGCGGGTGGCAGCAGGCCACAGTGAGGGCACACTCAGAGTCTTCAGCCTCTCCCGAGTCGCGATGAGCTCAAGATGCACCCCCACCTGGCTGCACTGACAGCCATTGTGTTCTCTGCTGACGGTGAGGGGGCTGGGGGCTCACAGGCTGACGGCACGGCCCCTGCCTGGCCCAAGTCAGACCATCCTCTCTGGAGACAAGGATGGGCTTGTAGCTGTGAGCAGCCCCCGAACAGGCGTGACCTTCTGTGTCCTGAGTAACCACGGTGGTGCCCTGATCTCCACCATCCAGAGCACAAGCAAAGAGGTGAAGTGGCCTTGTGAACCAGCAGAGCCTGGCCTGGGGGTGCTGGCAGGGAAGGGGGATTGGGCATAGTGGGGTAGCAGACACCCACCAGCCTTATCCACCCCAGTATGGAGACTTCAATGTGGAGGGCTCAGACCTGTGGCTGGCCACCAGTGCAGACCAGCATGTCAGCGTCTGGGCCTCTGACTGGGTGCGGAACCACTGTGAGCTTGTGGACTGGCTGAGCTTCCCGGCACCCACCCTCATGGAGGTGAGCGTCCCAATGGCACTGCAGGTGGGGACGGTGCCTACCTGCCCTGCCACAGCAGGTCGGGTCCCTCCACAGAGCCTCGGCTGTCCGCCGCGCCCCCTCGCCGCCTTCTGCCCCTGGGACGGGGCGCTGCTGGTGTGCGCCGGCCTGGGTGTGCACCCGGAAGTGGTCTTCTACAGCCTCCGCCATAAGCAGGCACGTGCACCCTCCCCTTGTTCCATGGGGGCCCAGGGCTGGGGTGGGGAGGGGCCCAGGGCTGCGGTGGGGAGGACTCCAGGGCTGGGGAAGCCCCCCACCCAGTGCCTCGTGCCTGCAGGTGGTGGAGATGATCCCGCTGCCTTTCTCTGCTATGTCCCTTCCAATGGCACTGCAGGTGGGGACGGTGCCTACCTGCCCTGCCACAGCAGGTCGGGTCCCTCCACAGAGCCTCGGCTGTCCGCCGCGCCCCCTCGCCGCCTTCTGCCCCTGGGACGGGGCGCTGCTGGTGTGCGCCGGCCTGGGTGTGCACCCGGAAGTGGTCTTCTACAGCCTCCGCCATAAGCAGGCACATGCACCCTCCCCTTGTTCCATGGGGGCCCAGGGCTGGGGTGGGGAGGGGCCCAGGGCTGCGGTGGGGAGGACTCCAGGGCTGGGGAAGCCCCCCACCCAGTGCCTCGTGCCTGCAGGTGGTGGAGATGATCCCGCTGCCTTTCTCTGCTATGTCCCTGAGTCTGTCCCCCTGGGCCCACCTCATGGCCATTGGCTTTGCTGGTGAGTGCTGGTGAGCAAGCATTCCAGCCTGTCTTGAGTGGGGCTGAGGGGGTTCACCTGTGCCCCCACCTTGAGATATGGTCCTCACCTCTGCTTCAGGTCCCTTGTCCCTGAAGCGAGGAAAGGACACCTGCCCTAGGGGTTTGGAGGGTCAGATGGTGAGGGATGTGGAGTGTGGAGCAGCCCTGCTCAGATTGTGAGCCCCACCCTTGACCCTGGGGCTTGGCAGACAGGCCCTTGAACACAGGTTTCCTCAAGGCCCCAGTGTCCAGCTAGAGGCAGAGCTGGGGATGGGGGTACCCCTGGACCCTGAAGCTGCCCCTGCCCAGGCCCACCCCTGTCTGCCTGCAGGTCGTGTGCTAAGGCTGGTGGACTGTGAGTCGGGGTCTGCACAGGACTTGGCTGGCCACAGCGACTCCGTATGGCTCTGCAGGTCCGCCCCTGCCTCCCGGCTGCTGTTCACAGCCCGCAACGAGATCTTGGTGTGGGAGGTCGCAGGCCCCCGACCGGCGGCGGGGACCGTGGGGTCAGGTGTACCCTGCCGGTATTACCGGGCGCCCGGCTGGAGCAGAAGCTCGACCGAGAAGCCGTGCTGGCCGTGGGCCTGATGACTCCGTGGGGTGGGCCGTGCTGGACGTGCCCACGACTCTGTGTGCGCGTCAGGACCCTGAACGTGGGTGAAGGGCTTGTCCATTCTTTACCTGAGGGCTTTTCCTGCTTCTGCCTTGCGGTTCAAATAAACGTGTGTGTTGGCTTGTGGCAGTGTCTGCCGGTCGTTCCGGGCTCCCGCCCTGGGCCTGGCTCTCCTCCTGGCCGTCGCCCAGCCCCAGCCCTCCTGCTCCTCGCCAAGGACTCTGCCCTGTGCACCTGCGGGGGCGGCGCTGCCTGGCGTGCGCGCTGGGAGCTCGGGGCGGAGGGCCGGCGCGGCGCCTGCAGTGCCCCGCGCGCCCGCACGGTGGCGCGGCGTGAGCCTGGCCGCTCTGGGCCGCCCGGCTCGTCAGCGCGGCTGCGCGGGCGGGGGCCGGAAGTGCGGGCGCAGGCGAGAGCGCAGGCCCGGGGCGCCGGGTCGAGGCTGCGCTCCGGGAGGCCGCCATGAAGCGGGATGTGCGTATCCTGCTGCTGGGCGAGGGTAGGCGGCGGGGCGGAGGCCGGGGTGTCGGGGCGCCGGGGCTGGGCCTCCCCGGGCGGGGGGCGCCGCGACCTTGGCCGCCGCGCTGACCGCGCCGCCCCGCGCAGCCCAGGTGGGGAAGACGTCGTTGATCCTGTCGCTGGTGGGCGAGGAGTTCCCGGCGGAGGTGAGGCCCGCGCGCGCCCGCGAGCCCCGCCCCCCCCCCCCCCCCCGCCGCCCGGGTCACCCTGCGCGGTCTCCCCAGGTTCCTCCCCGGGCCGAAGAGATCACCATTCCCGCAGACGTGACCCCGGAGAGGGTGCCCACCCACATCGTGGACTACTCAGGTAGGCCGCCCGCCGCCCGGGGCTCCCGGGCCCCTCCGCCGGGCGCGGCTGCAGCGGGGTCTCCTCCCTCCAGAAGCCGAGCAGACGGCGGAGGAGCTCCGGGACGAGATTCACAAGGTAGCGTGCGTCCGAGGGCCCCGGGGCGGGCCGACGGCCCGATGGGCGTCGTTCTCCCGGGGATTGGGTTAGGGTGCTCAGGGCGCCCTCCACCTCCGTGCTCCTGCCGTGAGCCCAGCACTGGGAGTTGTTGGGGCCGGCTCGCCACGCCCAGCGCTGCCTGCCCCGGAGGGCCCTGGGGAACGACTTCGGCGTCCTTCAGAGTCACCCTTCACGGATCCCTGTGTTCTGGCCGCCTGACCCCCCCCCCCACAGCGTCCAGTCCACCCTTCTGGACCTCTGGGCCCCCTGGATGTCGTAATGGAGGCTGCGGGCCGCACAGCCACCAGTCTGTGCTGCGGGGCCCCTGTGCCCAGGCTGAGCACAGAGGAAGCTGCCTGTGGCCCCGCCTGATCTCCCCAAGGCCTCTGTCAACTTGGGCACCACTGTGCAAGGAGCCCGCAGCTGCCCAGGGGCAGCCCTCTGCCATTTTGACCCTCGTGCTGCAGTTCCCACCATCTCTCTGCTGCAGTGACGCGGGAGTGGAAAGTGGAGGTCAGGGCCGCGGGGCCAAGCCCCGGGGTGGCCGTGCTTGTCCTGAGCCCTCCGGGGGACCGAACCTGCCGAGCTGCAGGTTCAGGGCAGAAGCAGTCCGGGAAGGGCTTGTTGGGTGTGAGCCACTGACTGCCAGTCACTGGTGTGATGTGGCCAGGGCACGCAGGCTAGAGGGCGACCAGGGAGGGGCGGGCTCAGGCCTCGAGCCACGTTGGGCAGCGGTGACCAGGAAGCCTGTGGTCACACTGTGGCACACCCCTCTTCCCACAGGCGAATGTGGTATGTGTGGTATACGACATGTCTGAGGAGGCCACCATCGAGAAGGTGAGGCAGAAGGGTGGTACTGCTCCTGAAGATGCTGGCTGGGTGTCCAGCTGACCTGAGCGCTGGGCCACTCTCAGCCTCCCTCTCACAAGGGTTTGGGGGGGCCTCCCAGAGCCACCCTGGGTGATGGGGACCCCAACAGCCTCTCCAGGGAGCTCTTGACCCCACCCCCACCTCCCCTTGGACAGTATGGATGACCATGCTTCTGAGACAGATCTGTGGGAGGGGCTGCTGACCAGCCCTTGAGGGTGTTGGAAACTGCTCGGAAGAGAGGAGGTCCCCCCAGCTGGCTGCTCTCCCCCAGTAGTGTGCCTGTGGCCCTCAGCGGGCTGAGCTGGGCCAGAGCTACTGGACAGGCAGGCAGGCCCTCTCACTGCCAGGCCTTGTCTTTCAGATCCGCACCAAATGGATCCCGCTGGTGAATGGGGGCACTGACAAAGAGCCCAGGTAATGGGCAGGGACCGGGGAGCTGGGCCCCACCAGCTCTGCGCTTGCTGGTGACCAAGGGCCTCTTCCCCAGGGTCCCCATCATCCTGGTGGGCAACAAGTCAGACCTGCGGCCAGGGAGCTCCATGGAGGCCGTGCTGCCCATCATGAGCCAGTTCCCTGAGATCGAGACCTGTGTGGAGGTGAGCGGGTGGGCGGGGATGGGAATGCATGTGTTGGTGGCCCCTGGGCCCTGGGATAGGCCAACCATTCATGGAGGGCAAGTGAGGCCTTGCTTTCAGGGGAGGGACTGGTGACCCCCAAGCTCGCGTCTTCTGGGGCCCCTGGAGTCTCCTCGTGTTGGCACCCCTCAGCCTGCACATACCCCTTCAGTGCTCAGCCAAGAACCTGAGGAACATCTCAGAGCTGTTCTACTATGCACAGAAGGCCGTCCTGCATCCCACAGCCCCGCTCTATGACCCTGAAGCTAAGCAGGTGGGCGCAGCGGGTGCGAGGGTGAGCTGTGCTTGCTGTGGGGGCGGGTGCTGAGCCAGCTGTCCCTGCAGCTGAGGCCCGCGTGCACCCAGGCCCTCACACGCATCTTCAGGCTCTTGGACCAGGACCAGGACCAGGTGCTCAGCGACGATGAGCTCAACGCTTTCCAGGTGCAGCCCCATATCTGCTGGCAGTGCCCGCCCCGGGCTGCAGCCGCCCTCCGCCAGCAGCTGACTGGCTAACGGCAGCTTTCTCCCGGAGGCAGAAGTCCTGCTTTGGGCACCCCCTGGCTCCTCAAGCCCTGGAGGATGTGAAGGCAGTGGTGTGCAAGAATGTGGTGGGAGGTGTGCAGGACGACCGGCTCACCCTCGACGGTGAGGCCCCCTGTCCTGCCTGTTCCCCTGTTGTGGGGGTCCGGTGAGCCCAGTGCAATCTCCGCCCTACCCCTGTCTAAGTAGGCTTCCTCTTCTTGAACACACTCTTCATCCAGCGCGGCCGCCACGAGACCACGTGGACCATCCTGCGGCGCTTTGGCTACGGTGACACGCTCGAACTGACTGGCGACTACCTCTTCCCACCGTGAGTGGTGGGCGGGGCTCAGGGCCCCTCTCCCCTCTCAGCACCAAAGGGGCCCAGGGTTACTGGAGGAACCCCACGAGAGTCGGGGCCCCTTGGGCTGGTGTGGGGTTAGAGTGCTTGCTCTAGGCAAAGTGCTGGGTGGTATCGTCTGCCAGGACAGCCACTGGGAGGTGCTCCTCTGTGGGTGGCAGGTGGGGAGCAGTGCCACGCAGACAGCCCCAGATGCATACCTGCCCACTCTGCCGCCATGGTGCTGAGCCCAGGGTGGGATGTGGGGTGGGGAACCTCCTGGTCCCACCGGGAGGGTCCGACCTCTCTGATGGTGCAGCAGAGTGAGACATAGGAGGGACCCTGAGCATGGTGGGCACAGGGCTTCCCTCGGATCTGACGGTCCCCTGCTATCCTGCAGGCTCCATGTGCCCCCCGGCTGCAGCACTGAGCTCAACCACTTTGGCTACCAGTTTGTGCAGAGGGTGTTTGAGAAGCATGACCAGGTGAGGATGCTGTGCGCCCCTGCCTTGCCCCCACCGTGCCCTCCGCCATGCGTCCTGGCTTCCCGGCATAGCCCCTCTACCCGTAGGACCGTGATGGCGCCCTCTCGCCTGCAGAACTGCAGAATCTCTTCAGTGTGTTCCCCACCGCTCCTTGGGGTCCCCAGCTCCCTCGTGAGGTCCGTACAGAGGCTGACCGGCTGTCCTTGCACGGGTACCTCTGCCAGTGGACGTAAGTGTAGCCCCTGCCCCCTGAAATACAGCCCACCTCACCGGTTCTGTGGTGACACGCCCACCCCTGCTGTCCTCAGCCTGGTGACCTACCTGGACGTCCGGCGCTCCCTTGAGCACCTCGGCCACCTGGGCTACTCCACCCTCTGTGAGCAGGCTTCCCAGGCCCACGCAGTCACAGGTGGGTGCCCCAGCCCCTGGCCCTCCCAGCAGCTCCCACCTCGGGCTTATCCTCACTACCCCCCCACAGTGACGCGGGAGAAGCAGCTGGACCAGGAGAAGGGGCAGACGCAGAGGAATGTCCTCCTGTGCAAGGTGGTGGGGGCCCGTGGAGTGGGCAAGTCCACCTTCCTGCAGGCCTTCCTTGGCCGTGGCCTGGGGGTGAGCTAGTGTCCTGTGCTGGCAAGGGGCCTGGCTCCCGCTGGAGCCTGGGGACGGGCAGTCTGGGGAGCTGTGGGGCCAGGGAGCTCAAGTGTCCCCTTCTTCAGCACCAGGACAGCAGGGACCCCCCCGAGGAGCCCATCACCCATGCCATCGACACACTGCAAGTCAATGGGCAGGAGAAGTACCTAATAGTGAGTGGGGGTTCCCCGTAGAGCCTGGGTGCACACTGGGAACACTGTCCCAACGTGCCCTAGAGACTGAGGCCCCTCTCTGTGCAGCTGTGTGAGGTGAGTGCAGACAGCCTGCTGGCCAATGCGCTTAGCGCCGCCTGTGATGTCGCCTGCCTGATGTTCGACCACAGCAACCCAGGGTCCTTCGAGCTCTGCGCCAGCGTCTACAAGGCAAGGCGCTGTGGCCGGGGCCCAGTGGGCACGGGAAGCTTGCTGTGGGCAGGGGCCCTCAGCCCCTCTTGTGGCCTCCCCACAGCAACACTACATGGACGGGCAAACCCCCTGCCTCTTCGTCGCCTCCAAGGCAGACCTGCCTGAGGGTGCCCTGCTGCCGGGATTGTCCCCAGCCGAGTTCTGCCGCCGACACCGGCTGCCCGCCCCTACCCCGCTCTCTTGCACTGGCCCTGCTGCGCCTCGCACTGCTGTCTTCACCCAGCTCGCCACCATGGCCACCTTCCCGTGTGTACCAGCACCACAGCCCCTGCCCCAGGGTGCCCACTGTCCCTGTCACAGGGAGAGCAGCACAGTGGAGGGCAGGATGGGGGTGGTCAGGGTGGGCCTTGGCCCTGGCGCTGGTGCCTAATGGCCCCACAGACAAGGAGCAGCTCTGGGGCTCTGTGGTCTTGCAGTAGACAGGGTTGGGGGTACAGCTGCAGGCTTGGGGCAGCACCTCCAGGATGTTTCCAGCCAGCCCCTTTGCCCGCAGCCACCTGGTCCGTGGGGAGCAGCCCGCCACCTCCTGGCTTCAGGTGACACTAGGCGCTGTCGGGGCCGCTGTTGCTGTAGTCCTCGGCTTCTCACTCTACAGGGTCCTGGTGAAGAGCCGATGAGGCCCCGGGACCTGCAGTCTGCTCTCAGCCCCCAGGGTGCGGTGTGGGGCCACCAGCTGGGGAGGGGGCGGGGGTGGGAGGCTTCTGTCTATACTTCACTTTTGAGGGTGGGCCGCTCTCGCTGAGCCCCAGGGTGGGCCCCAAGCTCCCAGCAGCCTGGATGCTGCCCAGCCACAGATCCGAGCGTTACCCACCTTGTGGGCATCATGAGGGGTGGGTGAGGAAGCCAGTGACCCCAGACCCAGATCCTCAGGGCTGTACTCTCTTCTGGTCCAGGTGGCCAGTGGGTATGATGGGGTCAGGGGCAGATGGGGGAGACAAGAAGTGGCTGGACCTTGCGCAGCCCCCCATCACCGCCACCACACTTGGAATCGGGTTCAGGGCTGCACCCCTCATGGGGAACATGAGGCTGCATTTCCTGATTAAACTTCACTTGTGTCTTGTCTATCTCGGACCCTTCTTTCTGAAGGTGACATTTTGAATCAACCAAAACATGTTCTTTGTTGGTGCCAGCTGGAAATGTCCCTCCTGAGCCCCATGCCCCCGCTCTGGGCCTGGTCCCTATCCTGAGGCCATGCTCAGGCCAATATAAGGTCCATGTGTGGCTCGGCTGTGGCCAGGGAGCCTCTGCATCCATTAACGTCCATGCTGACCTGAGACAGGCTGGAGGGGCCCCAACACCCAGGGGTATCCTGAAGCCTGCCCCCTGCGGAGCCAGGTGTGCTGAGGATGCGGGGTGTGCCCAGTGCCCTGCTTCTGCTGTGTACGTGGCCCTGGTATGGGGAAGGCCTGTTCCTCCCACTGGGAGGCAGCCAGAGAGCTCCACCTTGGGGGCAAGGACAGAACCCCCTTCTCGGCAAAGCAGGGAATCTCTGGCTTGGGGCTGAGCACCGGCACCTGCCGACCAGACTTGCTTGGCTGCATCCTGGAGCCTGGAAGCAAGGGTTTGTGGCTGGGTGGAGGGCCTCGGCTGCCCAGACGTGCACCCCCTCTCCATCCTGCTGTCAGAGTTGTCCTGTGCCAAGCAGGCCCTTGAGGCCAGGGCCTCCCCCAAGACCTGACCTGCTGTTTGTGGGAGGGGCAGGGGTCTGCTGCAGACCCACAGGGTCTTGTGCCTGACCCAGAAGAGCCCAGTCAGGCTTGAAGCCCTATCCCTGCCAGCCTCCCAGTTTCCAGGAGGGCAGAGTGCTGCTTGGCCGCTGCACCTTCAGAGTGCTGGGGTTCGGAGGCCCCGGGAGGCCTTGACTGCGCACGTGTCCCTGTAGCTCTGCTGTGCCCTTCTGGAGGGGCAGCCTGCTCTCTTCGGGAAGCCGGGGCCCTCCCTGTCCCGGTGCCGTCCGTCATGGCTGCAGGGGCGGTCAGGGGTCTCCAGCCCCTGGGTGTGCGTGGTGCGCTGGTCTGTGGCTGGAGCAGCGGCAGCTGCAAGGAGCCCCTCCCACCTTTATGGGTGGCCTTGCCTGCTGGGTGGGGCCGTGGCGCCCACGGGCTGCGGAGCACGAGGGGGCGCCTTCAGGAAGCCCCGGTGAGGGGAGTCGGGCAGGGCGGTGGTCCAGGAGGTCTCCCCCAAAGAGGTGGCGTCGGGGCTGAGGCCCCAGCCGCGGGCGAACGCGAGGCGTGCGCTGGAGTGGCTGTGGTGCCGTCCGGGGACTGTTTCCCAGCTGTTGTCCCCGAGGGGAGCAGGGAGCTCTGGCAGCGCGGTGGGGGCGCCGCTGCAGGCGAAGGCGCTCGCGAGCAGGGTGCGCGCGTGTCCCGGCCGCGCGTGGCGGCGCGGCGGTGGCGCGCGCGCTGGGGGCGGGCGGCTCCGTGACGCGGCGAGCGGAGCGGGCGGGCCGGGGCGGAGCGGACTCGACCGCAGAGCAGCCCCTCCCGGCCGCGGCCGCCGACCCCAGCCCCCGGCCCCCGGCCCGGCTCTATGGACAGGAGCTCGCTGCTGCAGCTTATCCAGGAGCAGGTGCGTCGGGTGGGTGGGGGGCTCGGCACCGCCCCGCCCTGGGCCCTCGCTGTTGGGCTGAGCTGGGGGGACAGAGCGCCCAGGGAGCCCTGGCCTTCGCGGGACCCACTCCCCTAAGCCCCTTCTCTGCACGACCTTGGCCCCTGCCTGAAACCCCAGGAGAGGATGAGCCCGACCGGGGCGCCTGGGGAGGGGCGGGCGTTAAGGGGATGCTCCTCAGATCAGAGCACTACCCTTCCGAGTTGGGCAGGGCAGAAAAGAGGGGGGGACCCCTGAGAGCTGAGGAGCCGCTGCACTGGGACCGTGTGGGCGCAGAGCCTGACTGGAGGGCTCAGAGCCTGCCTCTCCCAGCTGGCCTGGAACAGCCTTGTGGTCTGGGGACTGGGCCTGCACTCAGCCTTGGTCGGCGGCCCCCCCACCCCAGCAGCTGGACCCTGAGAACACAGGCTTCATCGGTGCGGACACCTTCACTGGCCTGGTGCACAGCCATGAGCTGCCCCTGGACCCAGCCAAGCTGGACATGCTGGTGGCCCTGGCCCAGAGCAATGAGCAGGGCCAGGTCTGCTACCAGGAGCTGGTGGACCTGGTCAGTGCCACAGTTGGGTGGGCAGCAGGGGTGGGGACCCAGGCCTTGGAAAACACAGTGCCCTGCAGCGGGGGGTGTGGGCAGGCAGCCCCTCCTCCCTTGCCCTTCCCAATGGGGAGGGCTATGCGGCAGGGTAGGGCCTCAGACCCCCTGCGGAACTGGGTGGGTCACATGGGCAGGCAGACCGGTAGTGGGAGAGGGGATGGTGGCCCATGTTTAGGGAACCCCCATCTCCAGATCAGCAGCAAGCGCTCGAGTAGCTTCAAGCGGGCCATTGCCAACGGACAGCGGGCACTGTCCCAGGATGAGCTGCTGAACGAGCCGGGCCTGGGCATCTACAAGCGGTTTGTGCGCTATGTGGCCTATGAGATCCTGCCCCGAGAGGTGGACCGCCACTGGTACTTCTACCGGCACCGCAGCTGCCCACCCCCCGTGTTCATGGCCTCGGTCACCCTTGCCCAGGTGTGCCCGGTGGCCTGCACCCCTGGGAGCCGCCTGCATCCCTGGCGTGCCTGGCCCTGATGCCCGTCTCCCCCAGATCATCGTGTTCCTGTGCTATGGGGCCCGCCTCAACAAGTGGGTGCTGCAGACCTACCACCCCGAGTACATGAAGAGCCCCCTTGTATACCACCCTGGCCACCGTGCTCGGGCCTGGCGCTTCCTCACCTACATGTTCATGCATGTTGGGTGAGTGGGGGCCCACCTCGGCACCCCTTGAGGAAGGGGGCTGGCAGCCTGATGGCTGACCTCACCCCTCATACCCATTTGCTCCAACATGGCCAGGCTGGAACAGCTGGGGTTCAACACACTTCTGCAGCTGATGATTGGGGTGCCCCTGGAGATGGTGCATGGCCTGCTCCGAATCAGCCTGCTCTACCTGGCCGGCGTGCTGGCAGGTAAGGCAGGCATGCACCCCCCATGCCTCACTGGCAGGCCTTGCCCTCACGGTTCGCCCTTTGCTCACACAGGCTCCCTGACCGTCTCCATTACTGACATGCGAGCTCCTGTGGTGGGGGGCTCTGGCGGAGTCTACGCCCTGTGTTCGGCACACCTGGCCAATGTCGTCATGGTAACAGGGCAGCCACTGGGGTGGGGGTTGGAGGGGCTCACACAGCCTGCCTCACAGCCTCTCTCACATCCTATCAGAACTGGGCTGGGATGAGGTGTCCCTACAAGCTGCTGAGAATGGTGCTGGCCCTGGTGTGCAGTAAGTAAGGGACCAGGGGGCTGGGGGCCCTCGGCCTACTGCCAGAACAACTCCCACCTGCCACCTCCCTCTGCAGTGAGCTCCGAGGTGGGCCGGGCTGTGTGGCTACGCTTCTCCCCACCACTGCCCGCCTCTGGCCCCCAGCCCAGCTTCATGGCACACCTGGCGGGTGCGGTGGTGGGGGTCAGCATGGGCCTGACCATCCTGCGCAGCTACGAGGAGCGCCTGCAGGACCAGTGCGGCTGGTGGGTGGTGCTGCTTGCCTACGGCACCTTCCTGCTCTTTGCCATCTTCTGGAACATCTTTGCTTACGACATGCTAGGTGCCCACACCCCGCTGCCGCCCTAATGGGCTCCCCAGAGCTACAGGGGACAGGGCAAGTGTGTGTGGGCCAGCCCCTAGGTGGCCCTGCACATGAGCCCTCTGCGAATGTCCATCTTGAGTCTGCTCCTTCTTGGGAGTGGGTGGCCCCATAGCCCACTGAATCCAGGCCAAGTCTTATACCAGCCCTGGCCACCACTCCCACACCTGGGGGACAGGACTTCTGGGCCAGCTGGTGGAGGTACCCAAAGGTGGTCCCAGAGAAGATCATGTCTCAGCCTCACCCCCTGGACTTGCAGTCTGAGCCTTTTTGGACAATGAATAAATATTTTACACAGCACCAGGTGGCTGTGCCAGGGCCGTGGGGGATGCTCTGGCCTCCACCACACTTGCTGAGCAGGCTGTGAGGTCCCTTTCCTCCGTGTAGACAGCCTGGGCTTCCCTGTCACTCCTCTGCGTCTGGTATGAGGTGTCTGTTTGGGTGGTGGGAGTCCCTGGGGGCACTGCGAGCCTCATAGTCAGGAGTGCAATAAGCATTTATTGAGCTTCCACAGCAGCCAGTCCTGCTTGTCCAGCTCGTGGACCAGAGAGACTGCTGGCCTGCAGTTGCATGGCAGGTGAGCAGACCCAGGGCCACAGCCAAGCTCAGTCTGCCTGGATCCTTCGCTTGTTGGCTGGCCCAGCATCCTGAAGGGGTGGCTGGGGCTGGGGCCAAGGTCAGGCAGCACGTGCGAACGCAGCCTCCCCACAGCCCAGGTCCACAGTGCCGTCTCCATTTGGTGAAGGGTCCACAGCCCTGAGGCACTGCCAAAGGAGGAACAGAGGGAGTCTAGGGCCCCGGGCACACTGGCCACCCTGCCTTGCCGGGCAGCTCTGTATACTCCACCCTGACCAGGATCCTGGATGCCCTCCCACCCCAGGAGGCCCCTCACCTTAGCTCAGGGCTGTGACTTGCTACCGCACACGACCCAGGTACACAGGTCATGCGTGAGGGTGCGCCGCAGGGCTGGCAGGGCCAAGTGCCTCGGTGGACATGAAGGCTGCTGCGTTGGGACTGCTGCGGGCAGGAAGGGCCAGCACTCGGGTCCTGCCTGTCTCGGAACAACCAGTAATGCTTGTGTCAAGGATGTGGCCATTGGCCCGTTTCACAGACAAGGACACTCATTAATAGTCCAGGTCCCACTCACAACTCCGCCAGGGCGTCCAGCTCGCCAGATTAACCCAAGGAGGCGGTGGAGCCCACGCCCCGGACGGCGAGGCATTCCATGGAGGCTGCCCGCATGTCCAGCAGGAGGGACAAGGCAGTGGCCGAGCGCCGGACCACCAGCTCCAAGGGCCTTGGCGGTCACAAGCTGCCTCAGGCGTCGGCCAGACCGGGTCGCGGCTCACGACGTCGGGCCTGGTCAGGCTGCCCGCCACGCCCCCCGCCCGCGCCCCCCGCCTGGGCGCCCCTCACCGACCAGCTTCCACTCCAGCGCGCCTCGTGTCACGTGCCTCTCCACTCGGTCCCCGCTGGCCGCGGGAAACTCGTGTCGATACGTCGGGAAGGGTGGTCACGGAGAGTCCCAAAGTGGGGGCTGCCCTTCCAACCGAACCCCACCGCCCTACCATCGGTCCAGAGTTTCCAACCGCCCCTGGGGGCCCGCGCGCGCCCGCAGCATCTCCCCGTGCCGCGCCAGGACGGCTGCCCACTGGCCCGGGCCCCACAGCCCACAGCCGCGGGTAGCCCGGTCCGCGCTCCAGGGCAGGGCGGGCTTCCGTCGGCACGACGCCCCCTCGCGCGGGGCCGCCGCCAGCCGCCGCAGCCCTCGGCCGCGCCTCCCCGCACCTCTGACGTCGGGGGCCGCGCCGCCGCGAGAGCTCGCGCCCGGCCCGGCCCGGCCCCGGCGGGCCCCGTCCCCGGCGGGTTGGGCGCACGCACGACCCCGCCCACCGTGCGCGCCCGGCCGCCCCGATGACTCCGCCCCTCGCGGCCGGAAGTTCCGGTGGCAGAGCGCTGGACCGGGCCCGGGCGGATCGAGGGCTCGGGCTGCGGGCGCAGGGCGGGCCGGGCGCGGAGCCTGGGAGCGGAGCCCGGGCCGTGCCGCGCGGCGCCATGAAGGGCAAGGAGGAGAAGGAGGGCGGCGTGCGGCCGGGCGCCGGCGGTGGAAGCCCCGAGAAGAGCCCGAGCGCGCAGGAGCTCAAGGAGCAGGGCAACCGGCTCTTCGTAGGCCGCAAGTACCCGGAGGCGGCGGCCTGCTACGGCCGTGCCATCGTGAGTGCGCCCGGGCTGGAGTGGGGTGGGGTGGGGCGGGGTGGGGGGCGGGCCCCCGGATTCGTCCTCGCGCCCTCCTCGAGCTCCAGCTCGGCTGCCCCCGTCGACCTTTTTGGAGGGTCCTGGTTTGTACGGAGGGGCGTTTGGGCCCCGAGGGCCCAGTGAGGATCTTGTTCCACAGGGGCTGAGGCCGCGGCTCTCTAGCCAGTGCTGCTTGCCGAAGAGCTGTGGCGGTGGGAGCTTCAGGGAGCTTGAGGCCCCCGGGCCAGGCCCGGGGACGCTTGCCTCTTGACCCTGGGCCCCAAGCTGGGGATCCCTACAGGTCTGGGAAACTTACCTTTACAAGACCTACTGGCGTCCAGAGGGTGGACTCAGGCAGGTCTCAGAGCCAGGACTCCACCCTCCACTCATCCTCAGGACCCAGGGGCTTTGAAGCCGAGAAACCTCTAGCGTCTTGACTCCAGCCACTGGCCCCAAGCCGGGACAGGGCCTGGGACAGAAGGGGCAGGCTGAGCTCACTCCCTCATGCTGGCTGGCCTGGCCTTGGTCCCCAGACCCGGAATCCTCTGGTGGCGGTGTATTACACCAACCGGGCATTGTGCTACCTGAAGATGCAGCAGCACGAGCAGGCCCTGGCCGACTGCCGGCGCGCCCTGGAGCTGGATGGGCAGTCTGTGAAGGCACACTTCTTCCTGGGGCAATGCCAGCTGGAGATGGAGAGCTACGATGAGGCCATCGCCAACCTGCAGCGAGGTGGGCCTACAGGCTGGCTGATTGCAAAGGTGCCTGGGGTCAGGCAGGTGGACTGGCCGGAGAGTGACCAGGAGCCTCTATTTCCCTAGCCTACAACCTAGCCAAGGAGCAGCGGCTTAACTTTGGGGACGACATCCCCAGCGCCCTGCGTATGGCCAAGAAGAAACGCTGGAACAGCATGGAGGAGCGGCGCATCCGCCAGGAGAATGCTCTGCACGCACATCTCACGCGGCTCATCGTGGCTGAGCGGGAAAGGTGGGCTGTGGTGGTGCAGGCTCCAGACCCCCCACTTGCCATTCCCCTGCCCCAGGTCACCACTCGTGTAACTGAGTCAGAGCACAAGTGTTTATTGAAGGTCAACACTGGCAAGCAGGTGACAGGGAGACAAGGCCCGCACACGCCTGAGGTCGGGGTGAATCTGACCTCTCCTGGCCATACCCATCTCTAACCAGCTCCTGGTCGGCCCCCAGGGAGCTGGAAGAATGTCAGCGGAACCATGAGGGTGATGAGGACGATGGCCACATCCGGGCCCAGCAGGCCTGCATCGAGGCCAAGCACGTGAGGGCGCCCCGGCCCGGGTGTGTGTATGTGTGTGAGACTGGTTCCTTTTCCTTTCGGGCCTGTGTGCCTGCACCTGGGAGGGGAGGTGGGGTGTCTGGCCCACACACAGTCGCTTGATTCTTTGCAGGATAAGTACTTGGCAGATATGGATGAGCTCTTCTCACAGGTGGATGAGAAGAGGAGGGTAAGCACCGGCCTCTGGGACCTTTGGGTAGTAGGAGCTGGACCAGTGTCTCCCTTTGCCCCTGACCTGACCCTGTGTGCTGCAGAAGCGAGACATCCCTGACTACCTGTGTGGCAAGATCAGTTTTGAGCTGATGCGGGAGCCGTGCATCACGCCCAGTGGTATTACCTACGATCGCAAGGACATTGAGGAGCACCTACAGGTGAGGCTCATAGGCAGTGGGAACAGGGCCCATACCCTCGAGCGCCTTCTGACCCTACTGTCACTGCAGCGTGTAGGCCACTTCGACCCTGTGACCCGGAGCCCCCTGACCCAGGAGCAGCTCATCCCCAACCTGGCCATGAAAGAGGTCATCGATGCGTTCATCTCCGAGAACGGCTGGGTGGAGGACTACTAAGGCAGGGCGAGTGAGGGTTGCCAGCCCACCTTGCCCACTACCCTGGGATGGTAGCCCCCAGCCCCTGGACATAGTTTGTGTTCCTGGTTCCCTGCTCCCCGCCACCCCCGTGTCCTCACCCCACCCCCATTAGTTCTGCTCTCTGTCCCCCTTCTGGGCTGGAAACAGCAGGTGAGGGTGGTCAGGGCTGATGCGGCCGCTGCCACCACTGTCCCTGTAATAAAACGTGTGAGCGCTATAGGGGTATGTGCTGGCGTGCGATGGGCTCACCAGCCATCCACTCTGGCTAGCTGAGGAAGGTGGAGATGAAGACACTGGTGTCGAGGTTGAGTGTGGCATGCCACCATCGGTCAGGGAAATACAGCACCTAGGGTGGGGCATGGGTTAGTGGGCCTTTGGCCTGGCCTTATCTGGCCCACCTGCCAGCTACTGACCTCACCAGCCTGGATGGTGCACTCCAGGGGCCGTTCAGATAGTGCCAGGGCTGGATACGTGTCCTGGAGCCAGGCCAGAGTGGTCTTGTTGGGGTGGAACTCAGGCGTCTCCTCAGGGGGGTACAGGAACCAACGCTGGGGTGGGAGCGGTGAGGTCACTGCTGGTGCTCCTGTCAGTAAGCCCCCAAGCCTCAGGCCCTACCCTGTGCTGACCTTGCGGCCGTAGATCACTTCTGAGAACCCAGGCCCGTGCCAGTGGAAGGGCACCCCAGAGCCAGCTCCTGTGCGGTCAGGATGAGCAGCCAGTGAGCAAACCCAGCCTGAAGTTCTCCACCTCCCCAGATGCCCAGGTCCCACAGACCACCCACCTGCAATTCCAAAGCTGTAAGCAGGAGAGGCCCCCAGCAGGCCAAATGGGGGTGGGGAGTAGTGCCGCAAAAGTGATGCCCATTCAGTGAAGTTGTTGTCCCCAAAAAAGTACAAGGTGTCTGCCAGTACGAGAACACAAGAGTGTAGAGATCCTACCACCTGGGCACTCCCAAGTGCCCCCGTCCCACCCCTCGGTCTCCAAAGTTTCTCACCGTTGCCCAGAGAGGTGGGGTCCTGGGGGTGCAGCAGCTGCTCCACGTAATCCTGAAAGGGCAGGTCCACTGCGGGAAACGGGCCTGTCAGACCTGGCTGGTGCCGCCGCCCGATGCTGGCACACAGACTGCCGCAGGGTGGAGCCCCTCACCTTTCTGGTAGGAGTAGGTGTTGGCAGTGCTCAGCCGGACCACGCTGTTCCCAAACGAGGCCAGGAGCCTTTCGCGGGAGCACAGGGTCCGGAACCTCTGTAGGACTTAAGGCCTGAGGCTCGCAGGCCCGGGAAGCGCGAGGTGGCCGGGAAGGGCGCCAGCACCCACCGAGTTGTCCGTGAGCCCCTGCAAGATGACAGGCCTGGAGAAGGCGTAGCTGCAAAGAAGGGCAGATTCACCGCCGGGTCGGCCGCGCCCGTACGCGTTCGCGCGAGATCACGGGGCGGTGGCCTCCGGGGGCGAGACTAAGGGCGTGGAAGGCGCGGCTCGCCGGGTCGGCGCACGTACTGCTGCACGAACTCGGCGTAGGTGAGGTCCGCCCGGCGCTCCACCGTGCAGCGCTCCTCGGCCACCGCGGCGCTCGGCGTCCCTGGCCCGCGTCGCTGCCTGCGGGACAGCTCATCAGCGGCTTGCCCCGCGCCCCGCCCGCCGCCCGCCGGCGCCGCTCACCATCCTCCGTCGCCCGCCTCCCCGCCGCCTAGCCTGGCCGGAGCCGCCAGCGTCCAGAGCGCGAGCAGCAGGAGCGGCCGCAGCCTGGGCGCCATGACCTGCCGCCGAGAGGCACGCTGGGAGACCCGGCGTCGTGGCTAAGCCGGGCGCCAGGCTCCACCCGGCAGCGGCCGCCTCCGGCCCGCCCCGGAAGGAGCGACTCCGGGAGGCGGGGCCAAGGCCGTCTGCGCGCGGCTGGTGGCACCCGCCATTCCCCACGGCCACAGGGCCCCTCGCCCTCCACCCCTCCCCGTCCCCCAGTGCATGCACAGGGCGGCGGCGGCGCGACAGGCGGCCTCACTGCGGCTCCCACTTCCTTTATTGGGTGCCCATGTCCCACCCCGCCCCGCCGGTCAGGAGTACTCGCACAGATGGCCACAGCCTGCGGGGCACTGCGAGCTACCCTCTAGCCACTTCATGATGTGCTGCAGGTGGCCGCCGTGGCTGCAGCCCTGGCACCACACGAACAGTCCTCGGACCACATGGTGGCAGACAGCGCACATGCTGGCGCAGCGGCGGCAGCGGTCACAGACCCAGCCACGGCTGCTCATGGGCCGCTTGCAGTGGCTGCAGTTGACATGTAGGGTGGTGGACGCCTGGTTGAGGCAGCTGATGGCGCGGCTGGTGCTGAGCTTGACCACCTGGTTGGACACGTTCCAGAGGCAGAAGCGCTGCAGCAGGTCGATGTAGGATGTGTACCAGTGCTCCTGGTGGTGCGGGAAGCGGAGTGGCAGGACAGGGCTGTGGGCACGCCAGGGGCTCACCCCAAGTGAGCAGGGACGGGCCCCCGCAGACCTGGTCACCCACCTGGGTCTGCTCATCGATGTCCTTGCGCACGCGTTCACCCAGCACGATGAGCACAGACACAGCCATCTGCACGTCGCCCTGCTCCGCGTAGAAGCGCAGCATGTCGCACACCAGGGTGCTGAAGAAGTCGGGTGGCAAGCGGCTGTCGTAGAGTGCATGTGAGACCGAGATGAGTGCGAAGGAGGAGTCCACGGGCACCAGGGAGGCTACATCCGCCTCGCTGCCACTCACGTGGGGCGAGTCGGCCTTGTCCTGCAGGTGCTCGGGCCCAGGCGGTGTGTCCACGATCTCGTGGCGTAATGGGAAGGCCTCCTGGGGTAGCACATATTCGGGCTCCTCGGCTGCGAGGCAGGGGTTGGGGAGGCAGGGCCTGAGCCTCCAGCCCCGCTTCCCATCTCTACCTCCCCTCCCCCTACTCACGGTGCGCGTGTTCCGGGTCCAGCAGGTACAGCTCCTCGTCCTCACCCTCCACATCACCCAGCAGGTAGTCAGCGGGCACATCACTGCCCTCGGTCTCTTCGTTATCTGCCGGTGAGGGAGGGAGGGCATTCCAGGAGCAGCTTGCTCTCGAAGCCCTAGCCCCACTCCCGTAAATGCCCAGGACCCCCAAGCCCACCTTCATTGGTGATAAGCGTGGCTGAGGAGTCAAGCAGTACCGTGTCGCTCCGTGTGTCACCCTTGCTCCGGTCTAGCCGGGTCTCACTGCCCAGCCCTGGGGCCATATCCTTCAGGTTGAAACTGAGAGCAGGGAGTGCCAGTGGGTGGGTGGGCTCCAGCAGTCCCACACTTTGGGGAGAGCCGCCCCAGGCATCTACCTGTTCATGAGCGGCAGGCCACAGGAACTGCCCTTGCCCACACTGTGGTTGAGGTTGGTGGTGGGCACCAGGCCAGGGCCACAGTAGATGATCCGCAGCATGGTCCATGTCTGTGCTACCTAGAGGCAGGCACTGGTCACTCATGGGGGAATTGGGTCTCTGGCGACCCATGCAAGCCCCCCTCTACCTGGATGGAACCACAAACCCTCAGTGTTTAGCTGGCCCAGGGACCCAATGTCTTGGCCTGCTCTAGGTGGGAAAACCAAGGCCTATGGGAAAGACAAAAATCCCAGCCTCTGTCCTTTAGAAGCACAGAAGGTGGAAGTTGGAGGTGGCCAACGTGGAACCAAGCCTGAGGTCTCAGGGAGGTGGTGAGGGCCCCTACAGGGCAGAATGGCATAGTGAATCCAAAAGCAAGAATGAGCCAGAAGACGGGGCTTGAGCCCCGCAATGTCCAAGACCTGCACCTCAAGGTGACAATGAAGTCTGGCCTCCTGTGGGGACCTGGGCACCCTCTGTGCTAGGGTGAGGACTGGTGGTGGCAGCACCCTGAGCTCAGCACTGGGTTTGGGGCAGGGTCCGGGGGCAGCAGTGAGGAGACACCGGCCCCAAGGCCACGGCTCCTAACCCCCTCAGCCCAGCTCTACAGACCTGGTTGCGGCCGAGCTCCCGAGCCACTTTCGCATTGTGGTCACACAGCTCGGCCAGTGGCCGGCCAGCCAAGGCATAACGCTCAGCTGTGTCCACAAACCAGCTCATGCTGCCACTGCCAGCTTCCATCTCAAAGATGTTAAGGGCACTAGATGCAAGACCCGCGAAGGGCTCGGCAGGATCCAGTTTGCGCTTGAAGAAGATTGGGTGACGCCGATCACCAACATAGGGCTTGCGCCCCGGTTCCGTGGCCACTAGGCTCTCCTTAGCAGCAAAGGCCAGGTCCCCAAAGAGGCCATAGCAGAGGCCCTCAGGGTTGGCACGCTCAACAGGCTGGCTGGCATCCCGGAACAGGTGCTGGCACAGCGTGCTGTCCTTGGAGCCGGAGAGCAGGAAGGAAGGTTCATGTGGGTGGCGCCAGGCAATGCCTGTTGTGACATCACGGTGCTCCTCGAACATGGCAGCTGGGACAAAGGGCCGGCGCACATCCCACACATAGATGTTGTGGTCCACCATCATAGAGCATGTGGCTAGGTGGTGGCGGCACTCAGGTCGCCACTTGACACGGGCCACCGAGGCGATAGTTTGCACACAATGCACCTCCTTGGCACGGTGCGTGGTCATGTCCCAGACCTTCACCATCTTGTCACGCCCACCTGTGGCCAGCCAGCCCCTGCGGAAGGCCACAGAGCCCTCAGTGTCCTTTCCTGGGGCAGCAGGGCTCCTAAAGCTCGGTCATAGGGGTTTAGGCGGCCCTTCTGTTAGCCCTGCCTGTCCCACCCACTGTCCCTGCCTCCCCCCCAACACACCTGTCCTCCGGGTGCCAGTCACAGCAGAAGACAGGCCCATTGTGGGCCGTGAACATCCTCTCGCAGCGGTCAGGCCGCCGAATATCCCAGAGCTGCACATTGCCATTCTCGAAGGTGGAGGCAAAGGTGAAGTAGTCCCGGATGCTGAACTGCACGTCCCGCACACTTTCAGACTGGCCTGTGGACAGAATGTCACTTGATCTCATCGAGGTGAACAAGGGAGAGCTAGCTCAAGGCCAGATGTTAGGGAGCAGGGCCTGCCGAGAAAAGAACCAGGCGGGGATCAGGCAGTGCACCTTCTGGGCTGAGGACCTTGGAGGTCCTGGCAGACCTGCAATGAGGCAGCCTGGAGTTGTAAAGCAAGAGGGGAGAGACAGAGGAGCAAATCTGCTCAGCTGCCCACACAGGCTGCAGATCTGCTCAGGCTCTGCCCTCTCCCTTGTCCCATATTAGCCTTGACTGCTGACCTGCAGGTGTATCAGGGCTGCCACCACACTCCAGACATCCCTCATACCTCACCCAGGCCTTCCCCAGTCCCTCCCCTGCAGACCTCCACCCACTCTGCCTCCTTCAGGAAGTGCTCTGGGAGCACATCTGAGGGCCTCTGATGCACACAGCACTTCTCAACCTGCCTGGACAGGCCAACTGCCTGTAGAGATGCACACCTGCCTGACTTGCCTCTGAGGGCCTCACCTGAGAAGGTGCTGACAGAGTCCTTCCTGCGGAGATCAAAGCACTTCATAAAGCCGTCCTGGGAGCCACTGAGCAGCACATGGGCCTCAGTGGGATGGAAGCAGACTTTGTTCACTGTACGCTTGTGCTCTGTGAACAGCTGGTCCTGCTTGTTGCGGGATGGCCGACCCAGGTTCCATGTGACCACCACACCATTGGTGGCCGCTGTGGCCAGCAGGTTCTCATCCATCTGGTGCCAGACAACATCAGCACAGCTCAGATTGAGCGAGGGCTTGCGGCCCACACGCAGGTTCAGCTTCTCCACAAACTGCTCCTCCTCGATGGCATAGATTTTGAAGATGCTGCGGCCCGCCACGACCACCTGGGCTGCATCGCGGCACACACTGATGGCATTGGCTGGGGCATCCAGGTGGCAGTGCATGGTATGGCCTGTCAGCGCACTGCCACCCAGGGCTGTGGTCACACGGGACATCTTCTCCATGGCTGCTTGGGTAGTAGAGGCAGGTCAGTGAAGTGGGCTGGCCTGGTCAGCCTGGGGTGGGAGGGCCTATCAGTTCAGACCCTTCACCCAATAAGGGTCCCCCAAAACTGCTTAGGCCTAGCCTGGGCGATCCTGGTGAGCTGGTCTAGAGCAGTCCACCGTTACTCAGTCAACCTGATGGGCAAGTCCCATCACCCTGGCTGGGCAGTCAGAAGGCGCCAGAGCTGCCCTGAGGCTGGTCAGTCCCATGTCTGACTTCTGAGGAAGACCCTACCTGGTCAGGTGCAGCCCAGGCTGCCCCTCGATCCCCTCCAACAGTCCGATGTGGACAGTCACTGAACCTCCAGACAGTCAATCCCAGCAGGGAAGCTTGGTATTTCCTTCCCAATGTCCACAAGGTCGGCCCCAGGGCCTCCGGGGAGGGGGCAGAGGGGCGCGAGGGTCACAGAGATGTCGAGGGCAGAGCTGTTTAAAGGGCCTGAGGGGTCTGGCGGGGCGGGAGGCAGGTGACGCCGGCGGCGCGGAGCACTGGCTTCTTAGAACCGCGCGGAGGTTGCGAGGGAGCGAAGGCAGCGAACTCGGAGCCAGAGGAACCGCAGGAGCCTCTCCCTCTGACAGCACCTGAACCACGTCCTAAAGTTGCCGGGCCGGACCAGACCGGAACGGCCGCGCCGGAAGCAACTCGTCGCTTTCCCGCCCCTTGCCGGAACTGGTCCTTTTCTTGCCTGTCCCTCGCCGGAAGCGGGCACCCACGCCACGATGGTTCCGGGTCGGGGATCTTCGCTGGTGGAGGAGGGGTTGCCGCCGGGGCTGGGTGGAGGGTAGCGCGCAACTGTCCGGCCCCACCTCGGAGGCTGGTCTTACCGCAGCAGTTTAACGCCAGTGCTTATAGGTCCCCCAAGGTTCGT